TACTTTCTTTTAAAACCAAGTCAGGAGTAAAAGGAATCTCAGAACATCTGAGGATCTGAAAATTCACAGAACTATGTGAGTAAATTTGGTGAAAATATGTTTCCAGTTGGGAATGTATTTTAATTTGCTCACGTTATTGTGAAAATTGGGCAGAAAGTGGAGGCAGAAGAAAAACATCCTGAAGATATTTGTTCTCTGTGCAGAGTTGTGAGGTTTGTGCGGATGTTTATAACTTAGTGCTTGGCCTTCAACTGTCTCTTTCCTTTTGTTAACCTTGCAGGAGAATGCCGAAAAATAAAATAAACAAATAAATAAAATTTCCATTTGTTCCGTTGAGTCACTCCTCCCTGCTTTTTTAAACATTGTTTTGGTTTTCAATTACATATTCTCAATAATTATGTATATTGCAAACCTCTCTATACCAATATTTTATGGAACCATATTTCAAGACAATTACAGACTTCAGTATGTAAATTGTTATAAGTGTGACTATTCCATTATAACTCTGGCTAAACCTCCATCCTAGTTTTAAACCTTCTGTCAGGTTTATTCTCCAACTATTGACCTGTATTAATTCCAACTATTTGTTCCTTCTGAAGAATAGCATATCCACAGCATAAAGCTGCCACCACCATGTTTTTTTTTTTGTTGTTTTTTTTTATTGTGATGAGTCTTTAGGGCGGTGTGTAGTGTTGGTTCTGTCACACGTCCTGCTAACAGAGGGACTCAGAGTAGAGCCATTTAATTTAGGTGGGCAGCCATTTCTTAGTAGATTTGCAGTTGAATTCATTTTCAAACAGTGGGTGGGACACTGCTCCATGAGCTGTTCACAGATTTTGAAACTGTTTCATAACCTAACCTTGCTTAAACCTTTCAGGCTCCTTGGTCTTATTTTATTTACTTACTTATTTATTTTGAGCAGACAATGAAAAGTAAAAGGGGTGTGACAGCGGCGCAGGGCTAAAACACAATGTATGGAGGCCTCAGTTCTCAGTGCGGGTAGGTTCGAGTCCTGACCCGATGACCTTTACTGTATGTCTTCCTCCTCTCTCATAACCCACTTTCCTGTCTAACAACTGCTAAACAAAAGGCCAGTAGCGCAGACAAAACCTAAAAAAATAAGACAATTGACATGAATTTCTACACTGAGGCCTCCATAGAGCAGCTCTATTTATGCGACGATTATATCACAAACCGTAAGACTCTCGTAACTAATACGATGATACCTGAAGGCGACTCGATGCACGTTGTTCTTTGAGTTATATGAGTTAATATGTACAAACAAATTGTGAAGACCATTTATCCCTTTTATGAATCCTTATAATTATGTACTTCTTTGTGTTGGTTTATCATAATCCTTATAATATTAAGCTTGAGGATGTGACATGACGAAACCTTAAAACATTACGGAATATTCTTCTTTTTATTATTATTATTATTATTATTATTTTTAGCCCTGCTGTTGTTAGAATTCCTCTTGCATGTGAGAGCAGCGACCCTCTCATCCTGTTTCGAGTGGCAAACCGCAAATCTTTCCACCTTAAAGCAGTCGACTTCACATTAATAAGCGCCTTAACGGGGCAGGTATCGGACGCTGATTGTTCAGCCGTCGCATATTGTTTTGCTCTGATGTTAACAAGCCGTGCCGAGGATGGACAGAAGATCTGCGTCAGCGTGTCACTGATAAAAACAGGTTTCTTTTACACCCACTTGAAAAACAAGAAGCTGTGAGTGAGGTGCAGCAGAGCGGCTTGCGTCTCCAGCTGTGCAGAGATCACCGCAGCTCTCACTCAGCCCTACAGAGCCTCGGCCCTCAGCGCTGACCCCCCTCACATCAAACTTGACTGCTCGTGTCCTGTCTGCGCGCCGAGTTGTCGTGTAGGCTGTGTCGCTCTGTCACAAGACATGTCCCACATTTGCAGCCGCCATCGTTGGCCAGCAGGATGAGAGCGTCTGTCAGGAGAGTTGACACGCATGCCACTTTGCTGGGCAACTGACAGAGGGCCACGCCACACTGTCACTTCTCCCAGATCTATTGCCGGAGGATAAACACGGACACACACACAGGGAGACGTTAATAACACAAGAGTAAACAGAGTTGGAATCTCAGGGAGTGACTGAGTGACAGGCTGGCTGGGTGACCAGCCAGGGCCGAGGAAGCTGGAGCTCTGTGTCACCCCTCATTCTTACAATCTCCAGCTGTCACATCAAACACTCTCCTCTTGTGCTGCTCGTCCCACAGACTCGGGGCCCCCCACCTCCCCTCCCCCCCTCATCCCACACTTCTGAACTGATATCGCATCAGAAATGCATCCTGTGGTGCAGGAGAATACACGGTCCTCCAAATAAGCTCCTGGATAAATTGGTTTCTGCTTCCTCCTTTTTTGTGGAACTGGGTTATGTTAAAAGAAAATTCAGATAAAGAAAGAGTGAATTTTAGAGCTTTAGGGTGAATCTGACTCCCAGCTAGATGATTATTGGCTGAGAAGTGAATAGGATATTTGGGTTTCATTGAAGTGCCAGCGTGTTCGCACATCTTTTTGTAGTTTCATAAACAGACTAAAACTTACTGGGACAACGTACATACTGCCAAGGCCCTTGAGGATTCATGCTTAAAATTATTATTATTTTTTAATAGAATTTTTTTATTTGTTATAGGAAAGGAGACAGGCATCTCTGAAAATGGACCAAACCATTTAAAAGGAGTCCAAATTTTGAAAAAAAAAAAAAAAAAAAAAAGAAAAAAAACGCAAAACAAACTGCTTTCATTCCAAAAACTTGGAATAATAACTACATATATTTAATGCTTTCTAGATGTTTCCACTGATATTTTTGTTCATTGAATTATTTTAAAGAATATTGTAAACTGCAAACTTAACAAGATATTTCTTTTTGACCTAAGCTGACAGGACAGGTGAAGAGAGCAATAATTGAGAAGTGAAAAAGCCCCTGTGACCTGAGGAGGAGCTGCAAAGATCTACAGCTTGGGCTGACATGACTCCTCCTGGTTGTCTATTCTGTAAACGTCGCCCTGATAGAAGAATGACAAGAAGAAAGCCATTGTTGAAGGAAAGTTATTAGAAGTTTTTATTAGTCTATCAGATAAAATGCCATTGGAATCCATCAAAGTTTATGGTTTACATGTGAACAATTTAGAGAAGGAACTGTGTCTTGAGTTATATTATTTATCAGAGTGCCACCTATATAGTGTATCACATAGATGTGGGAAGTAACACTCAGCTGAAATTTAGGGTCTATCATTTGAATTTAATGTTACTTTGATTAATGACCAATACAATTACAGCTTGTTTCAAATAGTTTGCTTTGAATTAACATTAAAGTCCTTTATAGACCACTTCTATGACTGGTGTTCCAGCATTGAAGTTAAATTACAATCAAAGGCTGCAGTTATCATTCATTGATCAAATGAATAACTAAAAGTCACAAAACTGAATATACGTACTTATGTAACAGGGGTGCAATAAATGACCTAAGCTACTCAATGTAAAGCATGTTTATTTGTGGCACCATTCATACACAGGACGAATCAAAGAAAATAAAAGTAAAACAAAGCTCGCTTTAAAAGACAAAAACATTGAGTAGGAAGTAAAGTTGAATTCAATGGTTACACAAGAAAAAGGAAATAAAAAATAAATACAAATAGCTGAAGAAAAGAATAAGAATTGTTGTTACAAAATAAGTTGCAATAATGTTTTCAGATGCTGCACACTTCATGTCCTTCAGAGTTGTTTCCAGATCCAAGGAGCATCGACAATGAACCCTAAGTCCATTTCCCTTGATCTGGTCCTTGGAGCTTTATTTCTTTTGTGACCCGAGAGTCGTAGATGGTTCATATTGTCTCTGACATGCAGACCCAACAGGATTCATTACTTCAATTTCTATAACAAGTGAAAACCTATGATTTTTTATTTAAGGACTGGTGTAAATTGATCCATTTTCTTGGGATTAGTCAGGACTTTGACAGCAGGATTTTTGGATGAGTTTGAGTAACGCTCGTGATTTTTAACAAAGACGAACAAAAATCTTAACATGTTGAAAACAAAATCATGCATCAGCTGTCTGTGTCTTGTTTCAATAGAAAACCCTTAATTCTGGTGAGGTATGATAGGCTCATTTAGTACAAGAGTTTGAATAAATGTTAAAATTTACATTTGAGTACATAATTATGGATCTAAATGATTTACTTATTTTTGTAAAGTAAAAAAAAAAACATTTTTTTTTGCTTTACAAAAATTTACATTTTGTAAAAAAATGCATCCCATCTCATATATTTTTTCTGCATCAGGTGGGATCTGAACCAATCAGAACAGTGGCAGACAATCCCTTTAACTTTTCCAGTCTATCAGCCATTTTATCATGGCTAACTGTGTTCTTACTTAGCTCTAACTTAACCTGTTGTCAAGTAATATTGCTTAAATATATTGCTTTAAATCAACAGTACAATGGCTCATCTTGGCAGCCTGATGATTAATTTACTTTTAGCACTGCTTTTTCCCACTTTTTTGCAATTCTTACTATGAATTTCACATTTCCTCTTAGGCGTTTGATGAGTTTGCTCCAGTCTGCCCTGCAGCATCTGCTCCATGTTAACTTACACTGCCCTCTAGTGGCTGAGAGATAAATCACACACCCTTACAGGAAAATCAAAGCAAAGCAACTCCCTCGGATCATTGTCGCTCCCAGGTGAAAGAACTGGAAAAGACAACATGACTATGCAGTTTGTTGGCCTCACATACAGAACAACACCAAGTCGGATTGAGTCCCGAATTATCCTGGAATCTTGGGTCATCAACACTTTAATATTTTAACATAACCTTTAAACTTTTAAAAATACATATATATATATATATATATATATATATATATATATATATATATATATATGTATATATATATATATATATATATATATACATAAAGTGTATATATATATATATATATATATATATATATATATATATATATATATATATATATAGTTTTTTTTTTACTTTTTTTCCTCAGTGTTAATATAAACAATGTAATGTGTCTGTTTACACTGTAGGTAAGCAGAAAGCTCTATGGTTGTGTAACTTAAAATTTAAATGAACCGCTTATCATGCATTCAGTCCTTGGGACGAATTTTAATAACTGTAATAATATTTGACCTACATCGTAATTCATGATGACTGAGATAATCACGGATTCGTGCTAGGATCCTCGGATCCCGCTGTGAGAATTCCCCACTCGTGTGGCGATAAACCCCTGAATGTAGAAACGACGAGCCGCTATTACTGCATCTGGCCTAAAGGTGGCAGTGTGGCCCCGTGCAACCGCTGCATCTCGAAGGAATCTGACCCGATCAAGTTTGACTGCATACAAGGAGACGTTCTGTAGAATTAAGGTGGTGAGGATCTTTTATTCACTTCGAGAGGGTTTATCTCATGTGGGTAGTACACCAAGACTCATGAATACAAATGGGTATAACACGAGGCTCTTTGAAGACCTACAGGGTGTTAAAAATCCTCTTTTTGGTCTCTTATATGTCTTAGCGTGATGCATTATGTAGGTGCGCAGACGTATGGAAAGGACACGTCAGTTCTATCAGCTGCAGGCAGCAGCTCAGTGTGCTTCTCCAGAGACTCGCTCCAGTGTCACACTTGCTTAATTCCAGTAATGTTGCCCAATTAAGTATGATGTAGGGCTGCCTGCTGGGACCCTGACGTTTTGAGTTTATATTGAAGAGTCTCAGCCACTTAGGTCAGATGGCTACAGGCTCTCAACATGAATAATTAATCCCAGAATTGACCTTGCTCTTATCAGTGGCTCTTCTTGCTGGTAGCAGTTAGTCTAATATGACAAGAGCAGCTGCTCGAGATCGTTCCGAATGTTATCGTCGTACGAACATTGAAAACACCATGGAAGGTGTTATTTTAATAACATGAAAGTGATAAGACATCCAATGTAAATCTCATTTAGCTGATTCATGTTTGAAGATGAAGGTTTGCTTGAACATCAAAAAAAAAAAGAAAAAAGAGAAATATTTGAGCATGACGAATGTGAACGCCTGTTTGAACAAGACCGAGTTTGAAATGTTATCAAACATACTCATTTATTTAAAAGGAAATAGATAATACAAATGAAACAATTTTCATTTTGTCACATAAATGATTTCATGAGTCATTAACAGCGCAAAGAATCCAGTTTTCTCAGAGAAAACCCATTTGGCCCGCTGCTTGCAAACATTTCTTCTATGAGCTTTATGACATGGGTTGCTTTGACACAGGGCGCCTCCAAAAAAATGCTGTCTGTGAATTAAATACTGTACAGTGCAATTCCAAATAAACAATACGTCACATCTGATCATTCATCGGTAAACATCTTTTATATCAAAGAACATAAATCTTCAAAGTTTCTTCAATACAGTAGATTTATAAGAGAATTCACACAGACTCGGCGCAGTCTTTCCAGTCTTAAAGTATTTCACATTTAATGACCTCCCTTTGGATTTCCACCATTGATTTCTGATTAATGTTGTTTTTTTGTTTTTTTTTTGCTGGGTAACCTCCAGTTCTGTTTCTCAGAGCGCAGCCTCACCCATTCTTCTCACACTTCAGCTGCCCTCTGCTCTCCTTAAGCTTGTCCCTCTGACTGTCCGCAGTCTTGGAGTCTCCCCTTAGGTCGCACATCACGGCTCGAAGGGTTCTAAATGTGTCCATCCGGGTTATCTGGGCGGCGTGAAGCTTCACTTCTGAGCCCTGGGACGCGCTGAGGGAGCTGAGGGAGCGCACCGAGGACAGGTTGTGCTCCTTTCCAGAGGGACGGCGCGGCGTGGTCATGGTGCCGGCGTCCTCTGTGTGCTCCATGTCTCTGATGACCTCACACAGGTAGCGGGCCAAATCTTGGCTGGAGAAGGAGAAGGCTCTCTGAGAGCGGCGGAAGGTCAGAGGGGACGACAATGTTTCTGCCTCGGAGGGGGGGATGGCCAGACGCAGGGCAATAGCAGCGTTGCCATTTCCATTTGACATCCCCTTCTTGTTGTTGTCTTGAGGAAGCTTAGTCTGCGGGTAGGAGCTGGTGTTTTGTGGGTAGCTGTAGCGGAGGGACTGTGCGGGGCTGGGCTGGAGGGAGCGCTGCAGCTCCACCATGTTGAAGGCATTCTGTGACAGCAAAGAAAGAAAAGGACAAAACAGAATAAAATATACATTGTTTTCTTATATATATATATATCTAGGCGATAAGAACAATGCTGCACACGCCATAATGACCAATGCCATTTTGTCATGCTGCATGACAATTTAACCAGTGTGGCTCAACTGATGATTCTGGGAGTAAATGAGCCCGTTACTTAGAGTAAGATGGGAATCCTCAGCATAGGAAGGGAAATTGGCAACAACAGCTCCTTTGATCAGCCAAGTAATTCATTATCTGTGTGAGGGGATGGTGTTCTGCTCTTACCAAGCCTATTAAAACCGAAGCATTAACAGCTATCGGTGCCTTTTTGCTTAATTTCATCTAATTGACTTGCATCCCTCGATCTCCAGGGGACTGATATTTGGTTATCGTTTTGCAGCAGAGAACATTTTATATAAAATGTTAATGTTTACTTTCTCAACTGTGTCCTCTTTTGTGTATTTATTGCCAAAGTATACTGCGATGACATTTATAACGCCTTGCAAGAGTTTTCAGTAGATCTTCATGCATTTTGTCACATTACAACCACAAAGATTAGACAAGACTGTAAATAACATGATAGACCAACACAGAGTAGCATAATTATCAAGTGAAATTCAAAGATTTTTGGCCTTCGGTGCATTTTTGAAATACACTTAAGACAATAAAGTAGGTGAAATGTTATTTTGCCCCTTTACTCTAAAAACACACAAAAAAAATGAAGTGCAATCAATGCTCATTTGGAAGTCACCTTAATAAATACTATCTCACTGTGTGCTATTTAAACTCAGTATAATTACAGTTGCTCTGTGAAGACTTGAGAGGT